GTTTAACACTAGTAATTTTTGGGGCCCTTTATAGCTTGTTGTTCGGTGTGAGCCAAGGCTCCATGTTAAAGGCCGTACCTTGACCTTTACTGGTTTACTTTTATAAATTGTTATTTGGATGGAGAGTTGTCTCATTGGCACTCATACCACATCTTCCTATATCTATATACATTATACTTTTACACAGACAAAAATTTCAAAGCTTGCCATGATTGCTCTGTGCTTCAAGCTTACCATGACGTGTAGAATGGGAAAGATGGTTTTAGTACAACAAAATTCCGTCTGAATTTTAGCTAGAGAATATCACTGAAAGAAATGCAACCGAACATTAAGATGAAAATAAGTATATTTGTTTCAGATAAGAAAGCCGTACTACCCGTATCAATCTGCATGTATTCGTTTCTGGATCAGCAGAAGACACGAGGGTGACTTGGTACTCCGTACAAAAAAAGACCGCCTCAAATTAAAAGATCTACCCAAAAATGACAATCTGGGACAAAGGCCATAATGCATATACATAACAGTTCGTTTTAGGACGCAAATTAGAAGAACAAGAATTCTAAATTAAATAACAATATTTTTCAAACGTTTATTAATAACGTAAGTCAATACAAAAAGTTAATTTGTTTCGAGTTTATTGAGTTTCGAGTAATTTGGCCTTCTCAGCATTATGTTTTGTAACGTGTGAAGCATAAGAAATTGAAAGGCTAAATGTTAGACCACATATCTCGCACAAATATGGTCTTTCACCAGAATGTGATCTCATGTGCACTTTTAAGTTTGATGTCCGAATAAAATCTTTATCACACATATCACATTTATACGGTCCTTCACCTTGTTCATCACGTCTTAAATGTCTGCGTTTATGTCTTTGCAGGTCGTTGTTACAAGTAAAACCTCTACCACAAATATCACATGCAAACGGTTTCTCGCCAGTATGTGTTCTCATGTGTACTCGTAAGCCTTCCTTCCTAGTGAAAGCTTTACCACATTCCTCGCATTGATTAGGTTTATCACCAGTATGTGTTCTCATGTGTGATTGAAAGTGTTCCTTCCTACAGAAAGCTTTACCACATACCTCACATTTATGAGGTTTATCACCCGTACGTGTTCTCATGTGTCTCTTTAAGTCAGAACGCAGACTAAATTCCCTTTCACATACATCACATTTACAAATTTTACTCAGGTTTTCACCTGTATGCGTTTTCCTGTGTTTCTGCATGTGAGAACGCTCACTAAATGTCTTATCACATATATCACATGTGAATGGTTTATCACCAGTATGTGTTCTCATATGATTCCGTAAGTGATGACCCTGTCTAAAAGTATTATCACATAAATCACATTTGTATGGTTTAGCACCAGTATGTGTTCTCATGTGCATTTCTAGGTGTTGCTTCCTACTGAAATCTACTTCACAGACTCCACATTTGTAAGGTTTATAGCCTTCATGTTTTATAATACGAGTCTTTAAGTCCCCAGTCTGACGAAATCCTTTATTACATAAGTTACATGCCTTTCCTTTGATCTGTTTACCACATGCACTAGTTTTGCACTCTTTACCACAAACATTTCCCTGGCATTCATTACCACAAACATTACCCTGGCATTCATTACCACAAACCTTACCCTGACATTCTTTACCACAAACATTACACTGGTACTCTTTACCACATTCAGTACCAGTATCAAACTTCCCCCTAGTCTGATATGCCTTATCCATCAGTTGGTCTGTACAAGTCTGATATGCCTTATCCATAAGTTGGTCTGTACAAGTCTGAAATGCCTTATCCATCAGTTGGTCTGTTCTGGTCTGATCAAGACGAATGAATGTCAGTTTATCTTTCTTTTCGGTATCAGAAACCATATTTGTTTCAGTCTTGTCCTGTCCGCAGTGTAACGTATCTAACTTGTCTGTAGGTTGTTCAGAGGAGATTTCGGTATCAGAAACCATATTTGTTTCTGTCTTGTCCTGTTCAACGAGGAACATCTCTAAATTGTCGGTTGGTTGTTCAGGGGAGATTTCGGTTTTAGAAACCATATTTGTTTCAGTCTTGTCCTGTCCGCCGTTGAACATCTCTAAATTGTCTGTTGGTTGTTCAGGGGAGATTTCGGTATCAGAAACCATATGTGTTTCTGTCTTGTCCTGTCCACCGTGTAACATCCCTAAATTGTCTATAGGTTGTTCAGGGGAGATAACTGTTAAAATCTCTTTATATTTCCGTTTCTGAAAATGTATCTGTTCCTGTCCTCTCCTGTCCACCATGGCCATCGTGTAACATTTCTTAACTGTATCTAGGTTTTTCAGGGGAGACCACTGCTAAAATATCTGTATTGTCTAGTCTGGTTAGAATACTAGAGATTGTAGTGGTGCCTGCTATATCTCCATGATCATGATGATTAAACCTTTTAATTATGCTATGCGCCTTCTTGTCCACTCTTTTAAAAACATAATTCGGCCAGATGATCTAAAAATGATAAAATTTAATTATTGCTCAATGAATAAAACGAGCTACATATTAATCAAAGAATGCTTTATAAATCCTCAGGAGCACCGGAAATCATCCCCAGTTTTTGGCTGTTGTTGTACCCCTATTTGTGACACCTTTCAAGCATCGATGTCAATATAATGGAATTTGATGCGACTGTCGTACAAGAGAGAGGTTTAGCGGTATAAAACTAGATTCAATCCAATATTTTCAACATTTGAAAATCCGGTACCAAGTCAGGAATAGAACATGTTGTCAATTCGTTTGATGTGTTTTATCATTTGATTTTGGCATGTGATTAGGGACTTTCCGTTTTGAATTTTCCTCAGACCATGCAGACTGAGAGTTCAGTTTTTTTGGTGATTTTACTTTTTTTATCAACAATGTGAACTCTTATTATCTAAGGAAGAAGGGGGTTATGTTTTAATCCTAAAAAAATATATCCTGAAACTTAATTTCATAAAGAAAAAAACCAAAAGACTGTGAGAGTCACAGCATACCAGGTTTTCCTGCAGAGGTGGAACTATGAACACTTGAGCTGCAAGTATGGACAAAATACGTAAGCTTAATTAAACAGCTCTGAATTTGGAGTGTGGTTGAATATTTGAAACAGCATCAGTCTGTGACACAAAATAAATGTGGTAAAGAACTTAACAAATTGCGATTGGACAGATAATTATTACATGTATAATGGTCCAATATTCAAAATCTAAGTCCATTGTTAGAATAAGAATACAAGAGAATCCCTTCAATAGCCAAGAGTTATACTTGTATATGTGAATTTGAGTTATTTCCCTTTGAACAGTAATGATGAAGAAATAATTAATAAGTATTTCATAAAAAGTTGAATTCTTTGGAAAGTTCAACAACTCAACAAGAAAAGCAAAATCGGGAAAATTGAACTTGACCTTCATTTATTCAAAGAAAACATATGAATTTGAAAAAAAAAACAATGTCAAAGAGATTTCATATTGATCAATGGACCCACGTGCCTGCCTTACATACCCAATTCAATAAACAATCATCTTTTGAAAATCCAGTTGGCAATACTGTGGCCATGCAAGTGAAAAAAAAAATATATCCAGATTAGTCCCATACCTTATAAAGTGTTTAATTTTGAAAAAAAAATAATTTGATTGATAGCGTCGAAAAAAATATATACCTTTAATTAATACAATACACCCGTATAAGTATACAGATAAAACATTTCAGAGACCCCTTTAAATTCCACGTGCGAATATTTTATGCACTTTAATTTTGTTTATTTTAAATAGTCATTGTACATAGAGTTTATAGTGATGTTATCAATGTTAAATATGCTTTCCATACATTTTCCAATTTAACAAAGACATTAGAATGACTGTGAATTTGGTTTATAATACACAATCTTTAGAGTTCTTGAAATCTTTCTTTCCCTGGTGGTCCTGGAAGAAAATCTGCTGGTCCTCACCATTAATTCTATTGAAAAATACTAAAATTGTGTCAGTCCTATGCAAAATTTTGATGGTAAAATACTGAGGACAACCACTTTTCGCGAACTCTGAATATTAATATTATTCGCGGTTCAGCGATTTATATAAATTGATATATCAAAATGCAACAAATATAAAACTTACCTTTTGTTAGACTAGTAAAGGTAAACGCAATTATATAAGTTAATTTGACTTTCATGCTTATCAAAACAAACTTCGAAGGGAGATAATAAAGATATACCTATGGAACGCATGATTACAAAACATTGGAATGCAATATAAAGAATTTTATGAACATTTTTTAAAAGTTCTTCATTCGTACCTCAAATTAACCGGATTCAAAAAGAACCCTTTAAATACAAATATATATATAAAACAACAAATACCGTTGGTTTAACGGGACCCAGTAGGCCTTACTACGCTCTAATATTTAATTAAAGGTATGTTGTTTTTTTCAGCACAAGTCAGGATATAAAGGTACAGTTTTGACATGAAATAATTGACACTTTATTGGAACTTAAGACAAAGCAGCCAAAAACATGGTCGTCCTCGAGACTTGCATTTAAATGTTGCCTGCATAAGAAGGTCTGTATTTCGACATTTGTTTTTGTTTTTTTTTTAATTGACGTGTACGCCTTACAGTCTGGTCATGTATCACATATATGTAGGAGGCAGAGGCGGATTGAGAGGGGGCCCAGGGGCCCGCCCCCCCTTTTCTGAGAAAAATTGGTTACTGACATAGGGAATCACTGAAGCATGACCGGAGTGGGCCCCCTCTTAGGCAGTCAGTGGGCCCCCACTTATGTAAATTTCTGGATCCGCCACTGGGATCATGTAGATATCTGAAAACATAAAAAAATATTATTTTAATTGAAGACAATTAAACAAATAAACAGAATAAACGTGTTTACAAACACATATTAAAAATCATAGAAAAGACTAGTGATGCCGATATCGCTGATCTGTTTTTTTCGGCAATTTGTATGTATTTTTACTTTTGTCGTACAGCCCTTGCGTTTCATACATTTATATAGATAGACACGACACAATCCAGGTAACACGCATATTTATTGAGTATTCTTGCTATAATTATAGCCTAGGTGTCTATATTGACATCGATTTAAATAATGCCTTTAAAATAACATTATAGACTTACAAGTTACTTGATGTAGAGATAAATAAACCCTCAAAATAAGCAATTTTTCGAACGAGTTCACAACTTTTGCTACTAATGGTAGCAAAGGCCGATAACCCATATGGCAAAATCAAAGGTACTTTATTTAAATCATTTGCACCACGTGACTTTGTCCCTTTTGATCAAATTACTTCCCTTAGCTTAAGATTGAAAATATAATTTATTATAGATTTGCGGATAATCCAGTCCTTTTCCGTCATGTATCTAGAACTAATGTATCTTTAAAAACTTCCTTTGGCGGATATTTACAAAAATGCTGTGTAATTCTAAGGGAAAAAGCTTAAAATTTGACTTTTTACGAAATGGGAAGGTTGAAATCATCATGTTTTTAAAAGAATTTGGCCGAAAACTTAAGAAAGCAGGTAAGTTAAAAGTTATTTCACTTTAAAATTCAACCTACAAGGTGTTTCCCTATATGCGAACAAATCATGAACAATATCTTCTTGCATGTGTATTTCTGTTTTGAATCTTGCTATTTTACGATTTTACGTCATTTTATTTGATCTTATATAGCAATTACACAATGGTTACGCTTCCGATTTTTAAACTAAAAAGGCCGAAAGATTTCAGAGTAGATAATGTCCATTTGTACACGGACAGAAGCCTAAAAACATGTACAATTCACCTATATGCGAACAAATTGTTCATTCGACATAGGTATTTGCATATTGGCATTTTTATTAAAAGGGCTTATATAATCCTATTGTAATGGCTGCCGTCATGATAAGGCAAAATGGCCGCTATGCAAATTAGCAAATTACCCCAAATTTTGCCATATGCACAAATTGATACCTATGGAACGTCTGAGAAATAAATCAGGTAACAGTTAATTCTTTGCAGTGGCGGATTTAACTCAAATTTAATATATATGTTATAAAAAATTTCTTGCAAAGAAGATATATTTTCCTGTAAAAGCGAGGCCATTACGCACCCTCTCTGAGTCCGTAGTTGGAAGATTATTATACAATCAGAAACAATTATGTCAATTATAAATGCCTGCATGTGATTTGTACTATTTTAATAAAATATACAACATTATTTTGTTTGAAATTGAAAATTATACCGCAAAAATACCGGGTTTTTTAGGTTGTTGTTCTCTGAAAACAGATCACTGTGACTTAATTAATTATCCACAATTTTAGTAAGTCTTTGACCTAATTGGTCATCCACAGTTTTAGTAAGTTTTTCATTTAAAGTTGCATTATGCCTCAGAGCATTAAGCATGTTTGCAAGACAATCAGAGAGACTGGTCTGTACTTATTGGAACTATTGTTTTCCTAATATTTGTGCAATGGGACTTGATATGACTTTCTTCGTGTTTTGGGGTATTTTCTTTAAATTGGACATAAAATGCTAATTGTAATAATTCACCTTTGAATATAAAGCTGATTTAACAGTTATTAAACTTGTTCTTATCATTATTTTCTATTTGTCAGACTCGAAGTAACTTACACAAATGAAAATGGAAGACGTCTGTTCAGAAACAAATGAAAGATCGTGCAACGGAACATCAGCTACTTCTTTGATTGTCTCCCTTGATCGGACTTAAGTTGTAGCCAGCTTAGTAGTATACAGCGCCACATGAGAACACATACAGGTGATAAATCTTATAAATGTGGGGTGTGTGGTAAACAAATGGTACTTGAAGAACCACACAACAACACACACTGGTGAAAGACCTTTCAAATGTGATGTATGTGGTAATGGGTTTAGAAAAAAATGCGATATAATGAGACATATGAGAATACATACTGGTCACGACAATAAACTGTATAAATGTGATTTATGTGAGAAAAGGTATAGTAAGAAACAGCACTTAACAACTCACATGAGAATACATACTGGTGATAAACCGTATAAATGTGATGTATGTGTGAGAAGGTTTACTACCAGTTTGTGCCTGAAGAGACACACAACAACACACACTGGTGAAAGACCTTTCAACTGTGATATATGTGGTAAAGTTTTAATTCAGAATTGTCACTTACAAAAACACATGAGAATACATACTGGTGAAAAACCTTTTAAATGTGATGTATGTGGTAAAGGGTTTAGTCAAAACGGTCACTTACAGACACACATGACATTACATACTTGTGATAAACCTTTTAAATGTGATTAATATTATACATGTTATACATTTTTTAGACAGAATACAAATTTACAGACACACATAAAAAAAACACACTTATGATAACATGCAGAAAAGGGTTTGATCAGTATTCGACTCTGCAGACACGCACTGACAATAAAGTACTGTATAGTTTGATATGTGTAGTTAATTAAGTAGAAACGACTTTCTCAGAGACACAAGATAACACGCACTTGTTATAACCTTTTGCATGTTTTACAAATGTTATAAAAGTGGTTCTTTAGTGCCATTATAGCAGTTTTAATTTTTTTAAATTCCATGTAACTTCAGCCATACACCATGTTTACACATTACTGTTTTTAGCTATAGGCATATAAGCAATATGTTAATTGGCACATGTATGTGTTCATCACATTTGTGTTTCTACGCTCCAACATGTGCCCAATGGATCAGAGGCGGTTGGGGAGATATATAAATGAACTAAAACTCTATATGATCCATAATCATAACCATGTATATGACAATAAACTGTACGTTGTAGTTACTGTGAGCACTTTTGATGAACTGAAACCTCAACAATTTTTGTATATAAAATAACGGAACCCCACCCTTTAAACCGCCAAAGGATTTCACGTGCATATATAACTAATATATTTAAATCCATAATAACAATACTAGTAACTAGTTTTACAACTAAGCTAACCATTTGGATATATATGTATAACTTATACATGTAACTAACATGTACACCAGGTAATCTCTATTGTCAAACAAAAAGAAATATATTAAAATATTATAACTTACTGAGTTTATACATGTATCTATTATATCTATTATCTTTGATAAAACAACTTTGAATTAAAATGTTACATTTGTACATGACAAATATTGGAGACTAACCATCTTCATTACTAATTATAAACTTGCTATTTGAATATTAAAAAAAAATAAAGTTATCATATACATTTTGTATTTCTCTAAAATTCTTTCATGTGAACTTTCAACACTACAAATGAATGAGGGTATTAACTTTATGCCTTAGCTTAGCCCCAATAGACAAAGGATCAAAAGTATTTACATGGTCACGATCAAAAATCATGCAAAAAATCTTACATGTAAAATATTTTTTAATTTCCAACATGTACATACATGTACAACAAATATAAAAATGTACTGTATGTGATTATTAGTGACTAAGTCATGTGACTGTGTACATAATTATTTAAATAAATATCAGTCAGACTCTAGCCTATTTGGAAAGCGACAAATATAAGATGTTTTTGAACCCTCTGATGATACATACATACAACTCTCAATAATGTTCATAATAGGTACACATTGTGTAATTTCAGTCTTCTTGACGGACAAAATACCACTATGGTCAGAACAATTTGCACACTTTGAACATTCAGTATATGCTACAACTGTGTTTGCTCTCTGCTCTATACAATCTAGTCTAACAAAAAAGCACACTCTTCCAAAACATACTTTTTCATTGTGTTTAAACATAATGGCTGAATTATCTCTTTTAGTCATTCTTGCATATTCCATACCATAAACTAAGTTATCATTCATTTCAATTCGTTTGAAGGGTGCAAAATAATCATTTGGCGGTGCAAAATCCAAAAATTTACATAATGCATCAAATGCATGTTTTGTTAGTGTTCTCATTTTAATACTTCCCAAAATATAAATTCCTTGTGTAATCATTTCCCCTCTTTTTAAGATATTTGGGAGTTCAATTGATTTGTACAGTTTGTCCAATTCAGTTCCCTCGACAATGAATTTTAGCTTTAGTTCAGGAATTTTTTGCACAAAAGATACACCAGTAATTATTTGATTGTCAATATTTTGAGTTCAACGAATCATTTTTAACAAGTAACCATTTTTATCTTCAAAGGAAAAACAACTATGAGTATATAATGGTCCTAGACATTTAACACTATCTGCCAGATGAACAAGCTGATGAACATTTAAAGTCATATAACATATATCATACAATTGCTCAAAATAAGAATTAAATTCCATCAAGAATGATTCGGCTCTCATAATTTCATTTTTAGTTGAACCATTCTTTAAAAGAATATGTAAAGCATTTACAAGAAGAGCAAAATGATTAAACCTAGTATTGTCAAGTGTACCATGTAAAACAGGAAGGCTATAATACAATACAAATGATCTATATTCATTAGCTTTCCAGTATTTCAAATCATTTTCAATGGACCTAGGTAAACGAGTTATATTCAATGTTGGGCGAATACTTTGCAGTTTTTTTTTTATCAACATCAGCAATGTGATTATGAATACTGAAAACCTTGTTCTTGAGTTGTGGGGAAAACCATAATTTTAGCATTAATTTCATTACACCTAATAATACACCGTGCATATAATCTATAGCTATTCCATCTATTATATTAAACAATGGGGAAAATGTTAGCCACGATGGACCTTTAATTCCATTCACTGCAATGACTTTTGATTTGTTTTCCATATTTTGTAAAGCATTTCTTGAATCTTCAATGACATTTTCTCTGCATCTTTGTGGACCTTTGGGATTGTCTTGAATAAATGGAAAAACATGTGCATGTCCTTTCCCACTTTTTGCTGTCTCACCTTTCTGCATACATTTCCAACATGAATAACTTCCATTGTATTGTACACCATTACATAACATACACCTTGCAGGTAGGTCAGCAGTACCACATAGTAAATAAGCTTTGCTTATAAAGTTTCCTCGCTCTGGAGAGAAACAATTAATACCATTGTTTAACTTTTTGAATGAATCTATGAAAGGTGAAAGGAAAGTGCTCATGGATGGTTTTTGGTTACCAAACCAAAGACCAGCTAAAATCATATTTTCTTTCATCATCCGTAGTTTGTATGGAAGTTCATTGATCACCAAAAATAATGGCCAAACAGAAACTTTACTACTTTTAAAGACTGGAGCACCATCAGTGTTAAAGGTAAAGGAAATATTTTCTGGCTGACTTAAAGGTCCATCATTTTCACTGTATAATTGATATAAATATCCATCTGATATGTCTTTGTAAGTGGCACCATCAGTTGTCTTCGAACTAGTAAATCGATTTTGTAATTTGTCATAGAATCCTTGTTGTGCAAAAAGATTTTGCGCTTCATATCTTTAGTTAATGTTTTGTTGCATCCTGGATAAGGACAAACCAGCACATTTTCGTTTATGATCATTCCAAGACAATGATTGCCATAAAAGTGTTTCCGTATAGGATTTTTTAGATTCTGAAAATACTTCTTGTATTCAAATAAGACTTGTACAAAGTTGATGTCCAGGGGGAAGAATGAAAGCTATTATATTTAGAAGCTGTAAAATGCCATCTCCAACAAGATTATGCTTCATGCAAAAAATCAGCAGCATAAATGCACCAACTGTAGCAGATGCTCCAGGATACAAAGGCTCCGGCTCCATATTTTCATCAAAAGTATCTGAATTCTCTTTATTGCCATTTTTCAGAAGAATTATTACCTATAGTATTGTCTATTTCAATGTCAGAATCGTCACTATAAAGATGCATTTCTTCTTCATCATTGATGCTCATAAAATTATCAAAATCATTGTTTGATTGGTCTAATGTCAGGTCAGACATATCCTCTTCTGGATCGCAAGATGCCCTCTCTGATGTGAGTACATCCTCTTCTTGGAATTCAATTGTATGAGAGTCCTGGATAACATCATCAGAGTCACTACAGACCTACAAACAGGGGGGGGGGGGGGGGGGGGAAGTTGACAAACATCTTCGCAATCGTAACTACTCGGCCATTCTCGCTACGCAGTACAATTTCTTCGTGCAACCAGAAAGGCCGAGTTGTTCCGATTGACATCTTCGAACAATTTCTTACTTCCGGTCATATACAATATTCGGAACAGTAGCGGTGAAATATATCCGGGTATAAATATGATTTTAAAAAATCGTGTACATTGAGGTAAAGATTACTTGCTCGTGGACAGAGACAGCAAGTAATATAAAAAAAAATCTGTTGAACAATAGAATTTCAATCTTTTGAATGTCTGAAAGTAAAAAATATTCTGTAAAGTATTAAATACATTTTAGTTAAAAGAAAGTTATCTCACCATTTCAAATCTTTCGTTGCCATTTTGTTTATGTACGTATAGTTCAGGGACTTCCTCTGCCTTTTCTTCTTTGTCGTGTTTATTCTGCATGGTCTCTGGAGCCACAAAAACATCAGCATCAAGACTAAGAGTTAAATTAGCATTATCACCATTGTTCTGATCATATTCCAGATGAAACTCGAGATTTTCCACTGCAGCATTTTCCTCAAATGACAAATTTGAAACATCGTATTTCCTATAAGGTCCCCTTTTTCTTTTTTTCTTGATTTTGTTAGATGCCATGTTTGTTTTGATATTTACATTAATGATACTGTTAGGACAGTCCGACACAGCATGATATATCGACTTCTTCGCCTGTTTTTACCAAGGTACCAAAGAGTTTATTTTAAGCCGAAAAACTCGTATTTTGAAAGACGTTTATCCCTATGTAACTATGGAAAACTCTGTTTTGAAATGTATTTAATTTCTTAAATTTATCATGTTTGAAATTTTTCATGTAATTATCAGTCAGCAATTTATAATTTACACCATATAAAATTATAAAAATAATAATCTCAGATGCTGTACCCTCAATGGACCTCACACGTCCGAAGAGGTCGCTTGTTATCTGATATCCCACGCCATTAAAATTTTGCTTTGGAAGCTGCATTTATCGTTTGAGAAGAAATTTAAAGTTATATTTTGAAGGAAATACCGAAGTCGAGTTGGAAACCATGTATAGTCCGCTGACGGTTATGAGTTAGAGTGATCCTAATAGTTTTTAAAAATGGTTTCAGAATGGTCAGATCTCGCGTAAATTGAAAAATAGGACATGAAAAATTATTTTTTGGATGATTGACTCTAAAGGAAAGATCGTTTAACATGTTTAAACAAGCAATGCATAAATACGAAATTTTCTCCACTTGGTTTTGTATCGATCTTGGGATTGTTACATCGTCCATATATGATCTATATTATGTCACAAATCAAACGTATACCCGAGTATAAAACGGCATTTTTTTTTTATTCTTTGAACACTTTGTTCTATATATATTATACGTATACCTGTATATAAAACGGCATATTTATTATTCTTTGAACAATTTGTTCAAGTTAAATTCTCTGATCATGATGATGACCTCGCAGCACTGGCTACTGAGGTTTGGCAAACAAAATCGATTTTCTAAACCTGATACATTTAACTGTAATTTACGACAATTAACATGGTTAAGTCTTTTGGATTTTGATAGTTTTTTTTTTTATTAATTACCCTGAACAATCTCTTATGGTTTATCAGAGACATACACACATTAATAATATCATGAATAATTCTAAAAACATTCACTTTTTTGTTACATTGTACATGTCATTGTTGTACTTCATTTTTATACGTCCGCAAAAAATATTTTGCGGTTTTGCGGTCGTATATTGGTATGACGTTGGCGTCGTCGTCGTCGTCGTCCGAAGACACATTGGTTTTCGCACTCTAACTTTAGTTTAAGTGAATGGATCTCTATGAAATTTTACCATAAGGTTCAATACCACAAAAGGAAGGTTGGGATTGATTTTTAGGGTTATGGTAGCAACAGTTAAGGAATTAGGGGCCAAAAATGAGCATTTTTGTAACTTCCAGACACAACTTGTGTGTTAGTGTATGGATCTCTCTGACATTGTACCACAAGGTTCCATATCACAAAGGGAATGCTGGGATTGATTTTCGGGGTAATTGCCTCAAAATTTTAGGAATTAGGGGCCAAAAAAGGGGCAAAGAACAAGCATTTTTCTAGTTTCATGATAATAACTTGTGTGTAAGTGTATGGATCATTCTGAAATTGTACTACAAGGTTCCATATCACAAAGGGAAAGCTGGAATTGAGTTTTAGGACAATTGCCCAAAACGTTTAGGAATAAGGGGCCAAAAATAAGCATTTTTTCTAGTTTCCAGACAATAACTTATGTTCAAGTGTATGGATCTCTCTGAAATTGTACTGCAATGTACCATACCACAAAGGGAAGGCCGGGATTGATTTTTGGGGTAATTGCTTCAAAATTTTAGGAATTAGGGGCCAAAAAGGGGCAAAAACAAGCATTTTTCTAGTTTCAGGACAATTGATAACTTGTGTGTTAGTGTATGGACCTTTATGATATTGTACTACAAGATTCCATATCACAAAGGGAAAGCTGGGTTTGAGTTTGGGGGTAATTGCCCTAAACGTTTAGGAATTTGGGTCCAAAAAGGGGCCTAAAAACAAGCATTTTTCTAGTTTCCAGACAATAACTTGTGTTCGAGTGTATGGATCTCTCTGAAATTTTACTGCAAGGTACCATACCACAAAGGGAGGGCTGGGATTGAGTTTGGGGATGATGAATCATAAGGGGGTTCAAAAAATTTGGGGGAGGGATTTTTTTTTCTTTAAAATTTTCCATTTTAAATTGGTTATTTCTGATTTATATATAAAAGCAAATAATAATGATATGGTTTGAATAGGTAAATTTAAAAAAATTAAGTTCTTATATAGACCACATTCATTCTGTGTCGGAAACCTATGCTGTGTCAAATATTTAATCACAATCCAAATTCAGTGCTGTATCAAGCTTGAATGTTGTGTCCATACTTGCCTCAACTGTTCAGGGTTCGACCTCTGTAGTCGTATCAAGCTGCGCCCAGCGGAGCATTTTATTATTTTATTTTTTTTGGTTTTTAATATGCATTGATCGTCATGGGTAGGGGGTTGAGCTGAGGAGAGAAATGTTATGTAAGGGACTTTGCAACTATTATTGAAATATGAAGATGTGGAATATACTTCAATGAGACAGCAATCGTTCAACACAAAAACCAACAAAATAAGTGCCATCTTGAGGGCATTATATACTGGGTTTTTAATCATTGTTAACAGTAGACAGGTGTTTATACAATTAACATGTCAAGCTGTAAATACTTGTAAAAACACAACATATAAACTAATTATTAGCACTAAGTGATAAAAATAAACTTTTTTTACATTCAGATAAAGCATATTTGGACACATTTGCTAATAAAGCCTACACTGCCATTATAAAAGGCAAATTGCCAGTTCAAGGAGACAACCAGAGCCCACCAGAAGAACTTTTCACTTTCGACTCGGGTGACAATGTCAAAGGAAAGAGGAAAAGAACAAAAACCGACAAAGTAGTACAAAGTGAAAAACAGGATGAGGAATTAAGTCCCAAGAATAAGAAAAAGGATAAGGTAGAAAAAGAAAAACAGGATGAAGAATTAAGTCAAAAGAAAAAGAAAAAGGATAAGGTAGAAAAAGAAAAAAAAGACAAGGACCAGACAAAAAAGAAAATAACAGTCTCTGAAAAAACCACAAAGAAAAAAAGTGAAACGGCCACCCTGCAGCAAGTTGGGCAGCTAATACTGAAAGAAGCTGGTTCTGACTTGCTGCATCAGTTTTCTGTGGATGACTGGATGACAGCAACAGTAACCAAGAAGCAGAGAAAGAACCAACACAAGTGCCAGACTTACCAACAGCATTATCAAGTGACGTCGTGGGTCAAAACAATGTGAATGTTCAACCAAACATCATGCTGCCTGTCCATGTTGATTTAACATCAACATGGAAAGTATGTACAAATGCCATGAACGCTGTTTGTGATGAGATTCCTGCACATGTAGCATCTTCTGATGCAGCTGTTACAAATACATGTGTAATCCCAGGTAATTAATCTTAATGATTTAAATAAATTTAAAATTCTTAAATTTAAAATTTAATATTAAAAACAATTGAATTTTTCATGTTTAAAAAAAAAATCAGTACTTGCTCTTACATCTTAATGCCAAGTGCTTAGCGGAGAAGCAGCAAATACCAACTTTTAAAGTCTTTGGTTTGAACAAGCTGGTATTTGAACCCAAGCACTCCCACACTTACCAACAGCATTATCAAGTGACGTCGTGGGTCAAAACAATATGGATGTTCAACCAAACATCATGCTGCCTGTCCATGTTAATTTAACATCAACATGGAAAGTATGTACAAATGCCATGAACGCTGTTTGTGATGAGATTCCTGCACATGTGGCATCTTCTGATGCAACTGTTACAAATACATGTGTAATCCCAGGTAATTAATCTTAATGATTTAAATAAATTTAAAATTCTTAAATTTAAAATTTAATATTAAAAACAATTGAATTTTTCATGTTTAAAAAAAAAATCAGTACTTGCTCTTACATCTTAATGCCAAGTGCTTAGCGGAGAAGCAGCAAATACCAACTTTTAAAGTCTTTGGTTTGAACAAGCTGGTATTTGAACCCAAGCACTCCCCCACTCGACACCACCGAAACAGTTAAAACATAAATTTGGGATAAAATTATAACTATACTGCATGTAATTTCTATGTGTGAACTTAATAATTTACCCATATTCATTTTATTATGAATTATTTGTATTACACAATTTAGTTATTAATTTAAAGAGATAGTTGCTACTAATTTGAGTTTACAGTGGCGGACCCAGAACTTTTAATAAGGGGGTGGGGGGGGGGGGGGGGGCTTGCTCCAGTCATGCTTCAGTGATTCCATATATAATCAACCAAATTTTCCCACAAAAGGGGGGGGGGGGGGGCAGGCCCCCCATGCCCCCCCCCCTGGATCCACCTATGATTTATTTCATTACAAAATGTACTTATAATGATAATTAGATCTCAACCTGAGATTTTGCATGGACAAATTTTTAACTTAACATTATACATTAATGTGTGCTAATGTCTATTAACCCCTTATTATTATAAATGCCAAAACAATAAAAGTGATGAACTATTTTCAAATCTTCATTTACATTTGAGTGACTCAATACATTACTAACCACAGTCATGACAGTTGTGGAATATTGACTCTTAAATTTCAACAATTAAAATGTCCAACCAAAACCATCATTAAAACAAGAAATATTGCATCAAAAAAAATAAATAGATTGACACATCAGTCAGATGTATTGTACATATGCTATTTTAGGAGTAAAATAAAAAATTATATGACATGCAATAAAGGTTTAAAAAAATTCTGAAACGATTTAATACAATACACTGCTTCCATTTCATTAAAGTGCCATCGGCTGAAGTTTTAACAGTGATAAAAGGCTTGTTAAGAAATGATGTGCAGGACTATCTGAAAGCAGTGATAGCTTGGTCTGCAAGACAGCATCCATGTAGCGAAAGGAAGGTACATGTATATGTATCACACAATCTTTTAGTATAGAAACATTTGCTGATTCTTTTATCGTCATATCTATGAAAATTATTGGTTATCGTAATATATTAGATTTGGATTCTGATATCTGATATTTATGGTTAAAATATGAAGATATAAAGGTGTCAAGTTTAAAAAGTCTTAAAATTTCCATTATTTGCTATATTTTGTGAAAATCATCAGGAAAATTAAAGAATTGACAGCTTGAAATCAAAATCTCTATGGAAATAAGATGATTTAGAAAAGGGGGGGGGGGGCAAAAGAAAATCTACTGGATGTTTATGAGCAAGCACATGCTGGTGATTGAGAAAGATATGAAGATATAAGAAGATGTGGTATGATTGCCAATGAGACTCTCCCTCCACGTCACACTTTGTAAAATTAAACAATTAAAGTCAGTACTATATACTCTGTATATTTAGTGGTAATAATGTATATGAAAGAGTTGTAATCCAGACTAAATCACTCTAAATAACCAGCAATTACAGTGAATCACTCAACACCTGTGAGCAAGAGTGATTTTTTTTACAGTGTCCAGTAGTTTAATTCTCAAAAATGTTGTACAGACATTGCCTTATAGTCTTAAAACTTAACTCAGTGCTCAAAACACATAATCTAGTATTTTGATTATTTGATTTTAATTCTGAGTATGATAATCTTACTCAAAAAAATTTTGACAGCAAGACCAGATGTTCCTGAAAATACAAGATGAAGATAACATAATCATTGTGTTGTTTTAATATTTTATAGGAATACATAAACTTAACTGGTACTGTTGATGACAGACAAAACAACATAGAAATAATGCATCAGGAAGATTCACCATCAGCTAGCAACTTTATAGATGATAGCTATGATTACACTAGTGCATTTAATGAATCAGATATTCCTCCGTTAGTAAGGCGTTCTCCAAGAAAACCCAACAGACCAACAGAAGGAGACAGACAAAATGTAAATACTTGTTAAGTTCAAGTCTAATACTATAAAATTCAATATTTAAATATATTACATAAAGTAATGAATTTTTATCATTTAAAGCAGTTTATTCTGTTTCTATGATCTTTTGTCTGAATTATAACTTACATTAAAGAGATGTGCATATATGTCAATATATACAAGTTATTTTGTCCCATGCTTCATAAGGGGAGATAATTGACATTTCTTTTTAATTTAAATCAGTTTTACCTGTAACCACAACTTTTCCTAAACATATAGAGTAAATCAAATGAAACTTTACCTATGCAGTACACCAAAGATACATGATTATATATCAGTATATCACAGTGTATAAAATATAATTCTGTACTCACTTTTCATTTTTCAGATTGATTTTGTTTCATTAAGTGGGACAGAAGTATTAATGTATTTCTAGATTATATTTCTTTTCAAAAATTAAAGCTCCTGAAAATCTCTTGTTTTTTCTTGTTTCAGTCCTTATTTTGTTTGTGCATAAACAAAAATGTATGAAAAGAATTTTTATTCAAATTTAGAAATTGTTCAATTACCAGCAACATGAGTATATAAAATTCAATTGTGTTTGTTAATTTATTTCTCCAGATATACCCAATAGAAACGGCTTCATGTAGTTACGAAAGTCAACCTTCAACTTCAACAGTAACAGAGACGCTGAGAAGATCTCCCAGAAAAAACAACATAACAACTGTAACACAGAAGAAAAGTAGTGACAGGCAACAGGTATGTCTTTTACTTAAAATTCTCTTTTAAGAATACATTTTGCACTTAGATAATTTAAGTGGACAATTATTTTTTTTCAAGTATAAGTCTCACATTTTTTACCCATGGTTTTGTAATGATGCTTGTGGCATAATATCAAATTTTGGTAATGCTTTAAATAGATTTACTTTGAATTTTTCAATCGGACAAAGAATGTTTAAGATTATTTAATGGTACAATTGTGTTGGTCAAGCACTCACTTCATTTTCATGTGCAAAATATCTTAGCATAGATATTGATAGTTTTAGATGAATGGAATGAAATATATGCATGGACAAAAAATAGGAAGGGGTTAAAACCTTTCAGTAGATTGACAATTAATATAACATATTACCATATTAAATGCACAATATATAAATAAAGAAGATGTGGTATTATTGCCAATGTCTCTATAGACAGACATTATCAGCTTGTGACTTAAGGATTTAGTTAAACCGTACTGTATAGTAAGCTATAAAAGGGACCAACATGATAAAATTTTTAAAAAATCATGTAAACAAGAAAAAAAAAACCAAAAAACCTGATTTTTGCATAGAAAAATATGAAAGACAGAAAATCAATATATATATATATACTAGTATAAATTGATAATACTGTTCAAACCTATGATTGCGTAGAATAAAAACCACAATTGTTATACGTGTGTGGTTTTTATCCAATGCACTCATATGTTTGAAAGTTGTTTTCAATTTAGACTTGTACAAATGTATTTATATACATGTATTTAAATTTGCTGCTGGTATATATCAAACAAACATTATTATGTGTATGGTCATTATTAATTATGTATATTTTATGTTTCACTCAGAGTATACGCTCTTCAAGTCCTTACAATATACAATAGAAATAACAATTTTAATTTACTGTGTTTCCAGATGGATATTTCTGACAGTCACCAGTCAACTGCATCAGAAACAGTGTCACAGAGATCTGAAAAATTATCTGAGAATGTAATCAAAGATGGGAAAATGGTATGTCTTAATTTACCCAAGTTCTTTTTTTTTTCTTCACTTTTTTGCCTGTGAAAGGTCTTTCAATTGGAAAAACACTTTTGTTGAGCTATCTCTTATTGATAATTTCAAAATTATGCAGAAATGAAGATTTCATGAGTTTATTTGGTATATGTTTGCCATAAAAGTTTCTAGGAAATGCTTACATTAGGCTTTTGTTCCTTTTAAGTTTTAATAATTAAAATAATCTCCTCAAGTTACTTTTATAATGAGAATAATTATATGTTTATAGGATATTTAAGATGTTTCTATTGAATAGCCTGCATATATCACTTTTCATCATATACTTAGCATGAATTTGACAGTTTTTACTCAAGTGTAACGAGCGGAAATAAACTAGCCATAAATTCACACCGGACTGAAAATCAATATCACCCCTATGTGGCTTCATATGATCTAGTTGATATGGGGTGTGTTATAAAATCAGTATGGGCCGCTATGGAACAGGCCATGTATTAATCTGTTCCCTAATCTTACTACAGTCAAAAGGTTGACAAAACATAAATATACCTCTTATTTTGACAGGTAAAATTACTAGAATCCCATGACATACTGGTTGATAAAGATGAACTCAGAAAGGCCATATCCGCAGCCAAAAAGTCTCAAAAGGTGGGATACACACTGTGTTACAAGCTGTTATCCAGCATGTTTTCTGTACCAGAGATGGCAAACTCCAGGGGACAGGGTATAGGTAAAAAGAAGGAGGGTGACATCAGACAGCCATTAAAAAGGAAAACAGTGAATACACTGAAAGGTATGACTCGAAATAATTAGTATTGCTTTCAACTAAAAGATTCTAATTTTTTTGTTTTGTCTATTATCTGAACATGATAAATTGCACTGTTGATGTATTCATTGTATATAGTGAATTTTAAAATCCTTTTGAGAAATGGGTATTTGACATTTTTTAATGAGATAAGACAACAGCGTTTTGTGTCAGAGATCTGGTTCAATTTACAAAAAGCTTGGTGGCAAAATCCATAAAACATTCACATACATGTTAAGTATATTTATCTCACAAGGTGGTAACATGATTTTTTTTCTTTAAATTTTTAAATGCAATTTGATGCTTTAATTGCATGATTTGCCAAGGACTTAGCTAAATGTAATCAAGCTGATAATGAATGCCAAAAAGCAATTTTATGAATAAGACGTCATAACTTTTTTGGTCAAAATTTTTTTTACTGATACTTGGGTTTGAATAAAACAAAGACCAAATAATAATATTTATTTTTTGCAGATTATGTGATTGTTTGGTGCAAGAAAAACAGCTATACTACACCAACAGAACAACTACGTAACGATGCCATTACAGAAAGGATAAGCTATGCCAGAAAACAGCTTAAAACACCCAGCAAAAAACTTAAGAGATAAATAATTTAGACAAAAAGAGACATTTTCATCTGAAATATGTCCAAAAATGTTGGAAAAACTCAAATTTAATAATTCCTTTATTGTATGACATTTGTAATTCAAATTTGTTGTTTATATTTTATGACATTTGTATGTAGTTATGTTTGGATTTTTGATTCATGAAAAAATCTTATATTTACGACCAATGTATACTAACCCCTTTTGTTAAAGAAAAACTGGCAATGATCTGTACAATTTGTATATTATCATGATTTAATTTGTCATCATTCAAATCTCATTATTTATTTTTGAAAATCAGCTGGCATTATTGAAAATAAAAAAGGTACTGTTTTTGTGAATCAGGTTTTTTTTCTTTCCTATTCAAGGCATAACTTTTTTCCAGGCGTAAGTTTTTTTTATTCCAGGCGTAATTTTTTTTCCAGGCGTAATTTTTTTATTCCAAGCATAATTTTTTTTTCTGGCGTCAGTTTTATTCCAGGCGTCATATTAAGTCTTTTCCAGGCGTAATATTTGTAGGCGTAATTTCTAGAAGCATTTTACGGGCGTAACTAATTTGCATATTTCGCCTCATATTCCGTCTAACTGACGCCCGGATTACTGCTCATTTACCCCTGGAAAGCAATATTACTTATATATATATTTTACGCTTGTAATTTTCATAAAATGACGTCTCATTTACGCCTAAATGACGGGTGTAAAATTTCATACAGGAAGATGCCAGCTTTTGATCACAAATAAGGTTCTGTCCAAGTTTGGTACACATTCAGGATAGTTTTAGGATGTTATTAAAATTTTTAAAACTTTTAACTACAGAGTGAATGTAATGTTAACTAGAGAAAAACTAAGTCCATTTTAGTATCATAAATTTTGTCTTTTTAATAGTCAGAAGTTTTATCTGCTATTTTTCGGAGTATACATGTTATATGGCTAAATTATTGAGACCATGTTGAAGTCCAGTTTAAGTTTCGGATAATATTTATAAGTCATCTACAAAAAATAGGCAACCCAGTTTTGAGTCTTAGAGGATAACAGAGATATTTATATTCAAGACCTCTTTCGTATCATTAATGAAATTAGTAAGTTAAATAAAGTATAGGAATCAGTGGTCACCTTGCGTTACCCCTTTTGTAATATTAAAAAAAGTATTAATGTTTGAACAAAAGAGCATATCTCCATACAGAGTCAAATGTCTTCTTAAATCTACAACATGCATAATATTTATATCTATATAATATTTATTTTTATTTTTAGGTAAATACTTATTTATTAGAAATTTTATCTACAGTTCTGTTTTTTTTTCTCTGAAAACAGATTGACTGTGACTTAATTGGTTATCCACAAGTTTAGTAAGTCTTTGACCTAATTGATCATCCACAATTTTAGTAAGTCTTTCATTTAGAGTTGCATAAAGCATTTTTGTAAGACAATCAAAGAGACTGATCTGTAGTTGTTGGAACCATTGTTTTCCTAAGATTTGTGCAATGGGACTTGACATGATTTTGTTCGTGTTTTTGAGGTATTTTCCTGTTTCCTGGGAAGCGATAAAAAAGTTATAGAAAAAAAGATTTCATAGCTAAAAAGATACATCTTTAGATTGGACATAAAATGCAAATTGTAATAATTCATCTTTGAATAAGCTGATTTTGCAGTTATTGAACTTGTTCTCATCATTATTTTCTTTTGGTTAGACTCCAAGCAACTGACAAAAATGAAAAGTGAAGACGTCTGTACTGAAACAAATGAAATATTGTGCAACGGAACATCAGCTACTTCTATGATTGCCTCCCTTGATTTGACTTCCGGTCCATTAATGAAGGATCTCTTTGTTAGCTGTCATGACATAGCCGAAATTAATTATATATGTAAAGTGTGTGGTAATGAGTGGAGTAGCAATGCAGATCTGGAGGAACATCTACTCATTCTGGAAATCAAGCTGTCAAATATAAAATATGTAAAAAAGAGTTTCGTACTTATAGTGTGTTACAGATGCCTTTAAAGACACATGCTAGGTGTCATATCTGTGATAAATGTGGTATTGGTTTTTGTAACGAAGATGACTTAAAGACACACTTGAAAACTCACCCTGAAGATAAACATAATGTTTTATTCATGTGATGTATGTGAAAAAGGGTTTAGTCAGTATAGGTATCTATAGACCCACATGAGAACACATACTGGTGAAAAACCTTATAAATGTGATGTATGTGGTAGAAGATTTGCTTGTAGTAATTACAAGCAAAATCATATGAGGACACATACCGGTGAAAAACCTTATGTATGTGATGTATGTGGGAAAAGTTGTAGCAAGCTTTGTAGTATACAGAGCCACATGAGAACACACACAGGTGATATATCTTTTAAATGTGATGTATGTGGTAAAGGGTTTTTCTAACATGTCTAACAAATGTTGCTTGAAGATCCACACAACATCAAACACTGGTGAAAGACCTTTCAAATCTGAAATATGTGGAATGGGTTTATTCAGAATTGTGACTTACAGAGACACATGAGAATACATACTGGTGGTAAACCGTATATTTGTGATGTATGTGGTAAAGGGTTTACTACCAGTTGGTACTTGAAGAACCACACAACAACACAATAACACACACTGGTGAAAGACCTTTCAAATGTGATATATGTGGTAGTGGGTTTAGACAAAATTGCGACTTAATGAGACACATGAGAATACATACAGATGATAAACCGTATAAATCAATATGGTTCAGGGAAAGGTTATACTGATAATATATCATTTCTCGAAGTGCCATATAAGTATTATGCGGGAAAGAGGGGGAAGGACAGATTAAGGCAGTTGCCCCCCCTCTCCCGCTGAAAGTTAATGTTGTCGCTCTTTGGTTTGCATATCTGTGTTCACTATTTTAACTACGACAATTTGGGGGACTGTCGTTCGCGTTCTTTCGAGGCCTCCCGGTGAATAAAACAAAGATGTCTATATAAGTTTATTTCGAGTCCAATCATAAGAGTCTTTGTTTGGTACCTTAAGGTTTCCTATTTTAAACCCTAAGAACACGTGCTGGTTGGACTTGTTTTATTCACCAATCAAAATGCTTTTTAGAATAACTAATTTTATAAGAACAGTTTCTATTGGTTAAATCTCTTTTAGCAAATTCACATTTTTACATAATTTGGGGTTACTATTTTTAATTACTAAATACCTTGTTTTTTACGACCATTAGGGAAATCCGATTATTTGGTTAGATAGAATTTTAGGTGATCAATAGAAAAGAATTATATATATTTGCTAAAGGAAATACTTCTAAGAGTTTAAGCTGTCAAACCTTATTTATATCGCTTAGTGTTAAATAGGAAGAATTTCACATCAAATACTTATATATAAAAAGTTACATAACATTATAGACTTTCTAATTATATCTTTTTATACAAAAAGCTTTATACAAGAATTAGTTATTTTCTACAATTACATGGAAGATTCACTTAGTTTTATATGAAATATTAAAATTTATTTCTTTAAATATTTTACCTCAATTTACCATCATTATATGTCCCTGTTGTTCGAAAAAATTGCTCCGCAATTTGACATTTGAATTCATTTCTTCTAAAACTTGTTTTAATCTTAAAAACGATTTTTTTTTAAATATTTTCTTAACTGGATTTGGCTATATGACTTTGTGGTTTATGATCAGTTGATATTATATAATAACGGTTAGACAAGTTGTTGTGACCAAGATGACTTAAAGCGTTTTAGTTATTCTTATTCGTGACTTTATATGACCATATACATGTAGTATTTTATCTATATTTTGTTTTCTTGTCCATAAAACAATTTTATCTTTAATATTTTACATTTATAGATCTCTTTATTCCTTATTTAAGGAGCGTTGGTGTATACTTTTTAACATTAATACTATCGTTTCTCTATTACTTATACTTTTGTGGTAAGCCTGCTTTTCTTGGTAGTCTGCTCGAACTCCAAACATACCCGAGTCATTTCCTCTCTCTGGAGTATGCTCATTTTCCTGGGTATTTTGCTCCGACTCCAGAACTACCGCAAGTCATACCCTCATTTTCCATTATATTACTTTAGACGGATTTGTTGTTTGTTTTACAATGGATAGTTTTCTAAAACATTTGATTACAGTTAATATTTTACATTATGGATAATGATTTGCCTATGCCAGAATACATTATGTTTGCTATAATCAAGGTTTTACTTGATGACTAGCTAGGTCAACATATTTAGCACTAATTTAATAAGTATACGCGCACTACTAATTCTTATGATTAAACTAACATTAAATTCTTACATACGGGAACCTTGAAAAACATTTTTCTCTCAACATTTTATCGTAATCGCTATAGAACCATTAAAAACTTCAACAATCAACCAACATTTATTCATTGTTACACGTGCATTTCTCTTTAATATTACTATTTATTTGTTCATCTATATTTATTCCTTATAGGACACTGTGCCTATCCTCGGCATTTTCTGATGTGGACATTTTAAACCACATAATATCAAGTTTTTAAGTCTTTTAACAACCAACCTCTTCTTAACAGATTTTACTTTTTTTGTACTTTTATCTTTTGAAGGTTAAAGTTAAAGGCATTATTTTACGGCTCTCATATAAACAAGCATATTTCTTCCTATCATTTTATGTTAAATGAATTTGAACCGCCTGAACGTTAACTTCTAAGACATATTACATTTCAATATAGTAACTCTAAGTTACTTTTTGTATTTTCTATTATGTAAACTATAAATATGTTACTAATCATCTCATATTTCTTTATTTTCTTTTACATCAGTCATCATTATTTTAGTATCTTATTTGTCATTTACAGTCTTCCAATTTAAATGATTATTTTATCAACACTTTCAATAAAGATATCTGGGCGCTTAAATATAATAATATATATTTATTTCGAGTCCAACCATAAGAGTCTTTGTTTGGTACCTTAAGGTTTCCTATTTTAAACCCTAAGAACACGTGCTGGTTGGACTTGTTTTATTCACCAATCAAAATGCTTTTTAGAATAACTAATTTTAAAAGAACAGTTTCTATTGGTTAAATCTCTTTTAGCAAATTCACATTTTTACATAATTTGGGGTTACTATTTTTATTTACTAAATACCTTGTTTTTACGACCATAAGGGAAATCCGATTATTTGGTTAGATAGAATTTTAGGTGATCAATAGAAAAGAATTATATATATTTGCTAAAGGAAATACTTCTAAGAGTTTAAGCTGTCAAACCTTATTTATATCGCTAAGTGTTAAATAGGACGAATTTCACATCAAATACTTATATATAAAAAGTAACATAACATTATAGACTTTCTA